ATTGTTCCATTTCTCAAATTACCTAGATAATGTGCAGAGTATCTAGGTAATCCGCACATTACCTACTAGGCACTCGGTAAAGTGAAAATAAGATCTTTGCCACAAATAAATGTACCACAAATAGGTGTACTTGTCGCAGAAACCAATTGCTATGAAATTCAAAGTGTCATCAATCTTTAGACTGCACTAATAAGTAAGCACAATTGGATAATGTTACCTATGGTGAGTAAAATGGCGGCTCGTCTCTGATTCCAGCAAAGAGAAGAAAGGAAACAGTGGTGACACATGTTCTAACCTAATCTAACCTATTCTAATAATTTGGTTGGTAATAATTATGGTAATTTATTAGAATAGGTTAGGTTAGGTTAGAACAGAATTATAGACATATCTGTTCCAAACACTCACAATGTTCAAAACACCATGCAGTGAAAAAATCAGCAAGTATACAGAACTCGCCCAGGAAATAAGGCATCTATGAAGGATGGATAGGGTTCTTATTATACCTGTCGTTCTCTCCTCTACAGGTGTCATACCACACACGCTACAAATAAGCCTGGGAACATTAAAATTGAATAGAAACACATACATCATGCTACAGAAGGCCACTATATTAAATACATATCATATTGTTAGGAAATTCCTGAATACAGACACACACTAACACTTATTTAATTTAATTTTTGTCTTGTTTTGGTTACTATGCTGTGTCCGGCATAATACACAGCCATCGGTGTCAACTGAGTGTAACTCACAAAACTCAACATAATAATAATAGATTTATGGCATTACGAAATTCTACTAATAGTATCATATCATATGTTTTTGAGGGGAATAACATTTTGGTGTGCCATGTCGAGTCATGTCGAGTCAGAGGTGTGCTGCAAGTAGAAAAAGGTTGTGGAACACTGCTCTACTGTATATGATATCCTATGATGATGACATGTATTTAAAAATGTTTTTAATTAAAAGAACACTAAGTTAATTTATAAATTTAGTGTTGTGTGACAATTAATAGGCCAATTTAATTACATATATGATTTAATTTGAATTTTCCAAACTACATAGTAATAATTATAAATTAGTTCATAAAATGTTTTATTTTGTATGTTAATGTACAATAATCTTCAGAGAAATTTATGGTCCTAAAAATATTCTTCAGCCTTGGATATAATGTATTTGTATCATAATACACAGAACAAAATACAAATCTTGGTTCGTTCATCTGATAATCCTGATAAGTCATATAATAACTCACTTTCTTGAAATTAAATAAAATCAAAAAACTTAATCTGACCTTTTCTGTTATTGAGAATAAGTAAGTTAAAAAGTGAAAGTTGCAATCAAAATAATTAAAATTTGATAAACAATTATTTTTGAATGCTATAAACACTGACATTTCTTAAAAATTTATTACATGGGATTTCTGGAAAATTCTATTAGAACACCTAACATATTAATAATACTATTTATAACAAAACACATCACAGAATTATAGTGTTAAATAAAACTTACAGTACTATTTCCTGCTTTTTGAAGAAATTCAAATGCAGAGGGATCTTTGAAAACTAAAAATAAACAAAGTTAATACTTAAATAATGTAATAAATATTTCAACTATTTCTTTAAGAAATAATTTAATATTTCATTTTCTCATATTCCTCAAATTTTATGTGAAGAAATAAAAATTGAAAATTATATTTTAAAGCATCCTTCAATTTAATAATCTAATAATATATTCAAAACCAAAAGATTTAATAAAACCTATTGCTTTTGTTAATTTGCTTAATATATGAAAATTTTACTANAACATTTGATAAGTTTTTAAAATAGACTGCATTTTAAAGGTATTTGGAGTTTATTAATTGATTTTAGTAATGCAAGTAGAGAGATGATGAATTTCATATTATTTTGTATTTACTTTTTTGCCAATGAAATAAGTAAAATGACAAGTATGAGAAAATAAATAAAATGGCAACTAAATTCATTATAATGGAAGAACAGTGGTCTGTAAGACCTGAAAAATAGACCATTACAGCAGATCAGTTTTCTTATAATTTTCCTATACTTTTAGCCAGACCAAAATCAGCCATCTGCAATACGATGTCCATTATGTTGAGCTTTTACTGTACAGTACACTGTTTTTGAGTGGAAGAAACTTCATATTAATATATTACAAACATAAATTTCACATTTTTTACGAAAAATTTTTACTCTTGAATCCAAATAATTTAGTGATAAATGCAAAATACAGAAAAATATTTAGTATTTATATATAATATATTCCATTTGTCATACCTCTCTAATTTTTCCTCTGTGCGTAACCTTAATAAATCAAATTTCTGTTCTTGCTGTTTAATTTTATCCTGCAATTCACTACATTGGTCTCTTAATTTATCTTCATTCTACAAAAATATTAATTAGCCATAATTATTTATTTGGAACAGACAAAGTATTACGAAATGCAACAATTTTTAATATGATAGAAATTACCACATTTTAAACAAGTACATTGAATAATAACAAATCTAATTGGAAATTAAAGTTACTATTTATTATACGTAAATTACAAACTGACCAAATTAATCTAAAAATTAAGTACAGTAATACCTCAACTTACGCAAACCCGGAGTTACGCGATTTTCAAATCTCATCGATTCATCTTTTGTTTGAGCGCCACGCAACCCTTGATTACTCACTCCCCCACACTATTGTTCAGCTTACATGTTCGGATGTGTCGCGCAGAATCGACACATAGCTACAATTTATTTTGTGTTATTTATTTCGTGTTTGTTATATCTACGGAGACTCGACAGACTCTACTATGTCATCCAAATGAAGTAGAACTAATTCTTCTGCATCAAACAAGAAAAGAAAAACTCTATCTTTGGAATGTAAAGTTAACATTGGGTACGTTCGTAAAGTCGAACGAGTTAAAACAGAATGACGTCATCGTTATTCCTATTTCGTTAGACTTTTCGAATGATTCGTTACTAATGCGTTTAACTCGTTATTATTAAAGACTTCAATACAAAGTGAAAATTTGTGAATTGGCAAAGAAGTTTGATATACCGGAATTGTCGGTCAGAACAATTATAAAAAGCAAAGAAAAAATTCTCGAAGCTGTGAAAAATGCTCAATTTTTAAATTCAAGCGTCATTCGTAAACATCACAGTATTATCACTGAGATGGAAACAATGTTAAAATTATGGCATAATAATCAAGTAAATGTGAAAAATTGTAAAATAATATAGGCCTAATTTGTTATACATATGTATTATCTAAGATTTTATTAAACATTTTTTTCTAAATTATTGTTTNCCAACGTTAAACAGTACAATAATATATACGAAACATCGATAGACGTGTTTCGTGGAGGGTGTAAAAATACTAATACTCGATAACAATCAATCGATAGCATCTATTTTATAAGCACTAGCAAGAAACAGGATTATCGTTCATGTAAAAGTAAACTTGCGAACGGTAAAGAGAACAAAACATATGCACGCCGATCTGGGACAAGGCTAGGGCGACACAACAATCCGACACACTTGGAACATAACAGAACATGCGCCTATCAACCATCATACGTCACAAATCAAATATCAAATCAGCTGTTTTAAAATTAATCGTTAATATATTAATTTAAACACACCCGATTATAATTATCGCACATTCGTAATACATAATATTGATGTATAATTATTACATATAACGAGTCGAAAATAAGATCAAAGTGCATAGAGGAAGGAGTCAAAACATTTTCGAACTATATATTCGGGTTAATGTGCTGGACCGTCTCCAGTGCATACTATAGTCTATACTCGGTAACAATGTTAGATATTTTTCAGAAAAATAAAAATAAAACGAACAATTCCCTATCTAGTGGCGGATAACGCCTTTAAAATTGCGAGATAAAAATAACGGATAAATAGTTAATTCCACAATTTTACGAATGGAAAATCGATTATGATAATAAACCCAAAAATTCGATATTTTATTCAGAAGCGGCGATATATTTGGATATATCATCGTTCAAATTTAGTTATTTTACTATATATACATAAAGACAATTAGATTATATAAAAGCCAACGCACTAATAAAGCCTACACGCTAATGGAATTTTAGAAGCGTATTTAATTTAATACAAATTAAAATACGGCATTCAAATGTTAATGTAAAAAATCCATTAAGGAGAAAGTGAAAAATATAATTAATTACTTTAAATTAGCTTATATTTATTAGATTTCCTGACTAAAACCAGCTTTACCTTTACAGTAAGGTTGATTTTTCGATTCTTAATATTTACGGGAAAATAAATTGATTACCGATAAATTAATCGAGCATATATATGTAATTATAATACATGTACAGGGATCGAAATATAAGCTTATATCGTACGATATTACTTACTTGTAAGAGAAACCGTTGATGACCAATGTTACGATTACGATCGACGAATACGAATGGATGGTTAAAGAATGCTGCACAGGACACACCCAGAACAGTATCTCCAAGGCGGTCAATCCTACACAGAAACGACTCCCACGTGAGGAAACACGTGCTCAAATTTTATTCAATTTTTAAACCCGCCAACCACTCCTAATTGCTTTAATATCGCCCCCCAATTTTAAAAGATATTACTATATCAATTACCAATTGAAACGAGAGCTTTCCGAAGTACGCAACGGCTAATTTCTAGTCTGACCAATCTCCTTTTCCATAATTGCACACTATGTAGTAGGCGGTATAAAAATTATGATGTTACCTTACATAGAATAAATTGTCCGATAATATTCGAAAGCGCCCCCTGCCGCCGATTGCAAGAAACACAACGTTCAATGGCACTCGTTCGAATATATATCGATAGGACATCATTTTTTAAAAAAATTTTTTATTAATTGTCTCGATTAATTCCGCTATCACAAATATGTAAAATTTATTAATTAAAATTAATTATTCAAACGAACTCATTACAAAGCTACAAATTAAAAATGTATGAACCGCATTTAGCTACTATACTATTACTACCTTTCTACAACAAGAAAAAAAGTATTTTACACAGCATTTCAGATAAGGAACAATAAACGAAAAATAAAAACAGATCTAAACATTTTAGCTGCGATTTCATTATGTAAACAGCACAGAAAACAAATATTTAATTATTCCAGAGAAGCATAACTCAAACTCATATCAGAATAATACAAGAATTAATTCATCAATAAAATTATTATACAGTATATGGATGACTGAATTCGGGACTCTACTAAATTTCTATAAAAAAAACGTTCTTTTACATAAAATAGTACACTGACAAAAAATGCAGTTTGTTTTCTGTGAAATTTTAGCCAAAATTAAATAAAAAAGTAATTTAACATTAAAGCCCAATTAATTATTATTCACTATTTTAAATATTAAAAAAACACACAGAACTGTTTTAAATTGTTTCCAAATAATGTATTAAAAGTAATTTCATTGCATTATACTTCATTCATCAACTTTCATTTTCCAACTAATTAATTTAATTTAAAAATCATTCACAAAGCTAATGCCATCCTGGGGGTGATGAATAAATCTAGGGAGACAAAAAAGCAAGGAATGGCAGGGTGGTGCTGGAGGCAGGATCCTGACCGAATGGTGGCCATAGGTAGGGGTTTAGGTCACTGAAAACCTTTCCCTTTCCTCCATTAAAACAGGTAAGAAAAAACATTGTGTTTAATGGTTTCCAGATGTGTAGAACAATGTGTGGTAAGGACACAAAGTGTGAGATTAGTTTCTCACACAAGGGAAAATGGGTTGAGAATTTGGGTAAGTTTATGGAACCAAGGGGATGGTAGCATGAAAAAGTTTGGTAATCACTGATCTAGAACATTGACAAGTGGAATTCTGTTATGCTTTTCATATGAATCCAAATTTAATCAAACAGATTTGACAACAAACACTATGGTATGCATAGAAAAGGTAAGGTCTCTAAACATGGCTGCTTGATATGGACAGAACAATCTGTCAGTATCAGAGTTATTCTGGAAGATGCAGAATTTCAAATACAGTAATACATCGGTTATTGTTGGCTTCAGTTTTCATTGGTTGCACTGATTTCGCCAGTGTGCCCACATGACCTCGCTGCTAATTTTGTGAAAACAAAGGGCGACCCATGCATTTTCCTGCTCAGTGTGGCATTGTTCCTCATTGTATGAGCATTATTACCCTGCACATCTAGCAAAACAATTCCATTGCTTTCCTTTCCTTTTAGCTCCATCATGGAACCAAAGAAAGTTTCCAGAGCCAGCAGCCAATGTTTCCTCTAATTTTTTTTGTGGATGAGCGAAACACACACTTCTCTGAGCAAAAAAAGTTTTTACTGAGCAGATTCTGAGCAAAAAATTTTTCTGATCATATATATATAAAATCTTATTTTTTTCTATAAAAATTAAAATAATTAATTATAAAGTAGAGATTAAAATTAATTTTAAAACATACTTTTATACAAAATATTATCTCTTGTCAATGATTTAATGTATTTAATCGAAATATACGTAGCAATAATCATGTTGCAGACAGAGTGAGA